ATTCAAGGAGCAAAAATAAACACGACCGTTCGTTCCGCCACACTAAGTTATATCTTCCATACCTCTGATTGTTTAGATATGATTTTTTATATATGTATCTCCTCTATCTATGCCTGCTGTGAATATATAAATTTATTCAAATGCAGTAATCTGTTAAAGTAAAATTTTCAGATGCTCATGAAAGGTATGAAGTCTTCGGTATAGCCGAAGACAGCGCTGCTCTTACTTGTTTTAATAATAATCTTTAGCATCTACAATTTAAAGTAAATTTTTTGATAAGAAAATACGAAAGTACCAAATAAATGATAAATACTTTCACCTGAATATTCCACGACACTTAAATAATTGATTACAGTTGAAAAACAAACACTTGCTTTAATGGGTTAATAAGGTATCCAAGGATCTCTTCTATGGGCGCTTGGAGGGCACGTACGAGTGCTGCCCCCGCTGCGATATCAAAATCGTGCTTGGCGACTTCAATGCCAGGGTGAGCAAGGAAGGAATCTTTGGAACCACCGTCGGAAAATTCGGCCTCCACGACGAAACGTCCGACAACGGACTGAGGCTGATCGACTTCGCCGAAACATGGTAGTATGCAGTACTAGGTTCAAGCATAAAAAGATTCATCAAGCTACGTGCCTGTCTCCGGATCGAAAACGAGAAGGCAAATCGATCATGTTGTGATATACGGAAGGCATGCTTCCAGTGCTTTGGACGTACGTACACTCCGAGGTCAAAACATCGACTCGGACCACTATCTTGTTGCAGCCAAGATACGCACCCGCCAAGGAAAGCTTAACGTCGAAAAGCTGCAATCACAACAGAGAGCACTTTCAACAAACTGACATATGCGAGCAGTGGAACCACATTTACCGCTCATTAAGTACCGCGGCCGAAGAAGTAGTCGGATTTCAGCGAGCTCGAAAGAACAACTGGTACGTTGAGGAGTGTCAGGAAACTGCAGAGAAAAAGATGCCGCCTGAAGAGGGAAGCGAGACATATTTGCCGCAATAAGAAGAGAGAGGCCGAAATACGTGAGTGTTACCGCTGAAACACAATGCCGACGCACGACGAACTTTTCGCTGCGAATGTTCGCTGTAAAAATTAAAACACACTGTCGTATATGAGAACGCACACAGCCAAAGCGAACGACGACTTTCGTCCGACGACTGTTCGCAACGATAGACATATTTCTATCGTCGTCGCTGGCGGCAACGGCAAAATACGATCCATTGTGGCCAAATTCTAAATATTCTCAAGTTTTTAAATCGAAAAGGAAAAATAATGTATAAGTTATTGTTAAAAATTAATAATCTTGCTGTTCGTAAAAATTGTATTTTAGTATAAACTATTTTCTAACATTTCCTGTTCTTGTTGAACCATTTATTTGTTATTATATTCCTTTTGTGTTCTCAAAGTTTTCTTTTTTACGTTTGGTCACCCTATCAGCTGACATGTGTACAAGCTGTTTTTGTGGAAGAAAGTAAACATTCCGGCGAACGAACTTAAATTCTTACAATTCTTGTTATTATTGCAAACAAAATGGATATTAATGAAATATTAATAGAAGAAAACAAGAATGTTTGTACGACTTATCGAGCAATGAATACAAAAACGTGTTTAAAAAGGCAGTGATTTGGGAAGAAATCGGCAAATCTGTTTGATTACCGGGTAAGTAAAAATTAAAGGAAGCATTTTGCATTCAATATACTATCGAAGCTATATTTGTAGGCAAATCATGTAAAAACGGTGGAGAGGACTTCGCGACACCTTCAAAAGGCGAAAGCGCACTTCGCAACTTAGCTCCGGCTGCGGCGCACCGAGTCCAACAAAAAAGTGGAAATATTTGCAGACGTTGAATATACAGCTTTACCATTATGAACATGATGTTCATAATTTTAAAAATTTGCACAAGTCGAAAAGTTCTTTGATCCATCTTCAAAAATCTGCAAATCTGTTTCGAAAAGTTCTTTGATACATCTTCAAAAATGTATATCTCTTTAGCACAATTATATTCTCACTTTATAAAAGAAAATTAAAAGTTTGATTGTGCCTAGGGATGTCGGAGAAACATCGATGCATCGAAAATCTTACACTCGATGTATAAATAGTCGATGTATGGATTTTTTGAAATTTCTAGTACATTAAACCGTCATACCTGTTTTTCAATTGTACAAAAAAGAGAGGTGATTTTGACAAATTAATTTAAATGGCTCCAAAAAGTTCCATTTAGAAACATAATTAGCTTAGTTGCAGTAATTTATTTCAAATTTTCTACAATTTTGGTAATAACATACTTTGTAGTGAAACATTATCTGAAAAATCCTATGATGTAATTGTACCATGTCATAAGCAGCTGAATTCGTTGTCGCCGTAGTTGTGTTTTACTAAGCGAAATTTTTGGTCGAAAGTTGCCGCCGTCGTCGCACTACTGTGCGAAAATTCGCCGTTCGTCGGTATTGTGTTTCAACGGTTAGGCGACTTACGGAACGTTTCAAGACCAGGGCGTACTTCTGTAAGAACAACAACGGCGACCTAGTTACCGATGTTCAGAACGTACTTAAATTATGGAGGCCCCTGTCGATGATGACGGAGTCGACGTTCTACCGCCTGACTATGACGTATAGCAATAATGCGGCTGAAAAACAACAAATCTGCTGGAGCTGACAGCCTGACAAGTACGGCCGCGAGGAGTTGATAAGGTGCATGCATCAACTCTTGTGCAGAATATGGTCAGATGAACGCATGCCCGACGACTGGAATTTAAGTGTGCTCTGCCCAATCCACAAGAAAGGTGACCCCGCCGTTCACGCCAACTACCGCGGGATCAGCCTTCTAAGCATAGGTTACAAGGTTTTATCGAGCGTATTGTGGAAAGACTGAGACCCACCGTCAATGAACTGATTGGGCCATATCAGTGTGGCTTTAGACCTGGAAAATCCACCATAGACCAGGTATTCACAATAAGCCAAATCGTGTAAAAGACTCACGAGAAAAGGATCGACACCCACCACCTATTTGTCGACTTTAAAGCCGCTTTCGACAGCACTAAAAGGAGTTGCCTATACGCCGTTATGTCTGAATTTGGCATCCCCGCCAAACTGGTACGGCTGTGTAAAATAACGTTGAGCAATACCACCAGCTAAGTCAGAATTGGGAAAGACCTCTCCGAGCCGTTCGCCACCAAACGAGTTTTCAGACAGGGCGACTCCCTTTCATGACTTCTTTAATCTGATGTTGGAGAAGATAATAAGAGCTCCAGAACTGAACCGCTTAGGATGCCTTATGCCGATGACATATACAGTATATTTTGCTTTGCTGCCTCTATGCTTAAGTGCACATTTAAGATACCTACCCCAAAATGCGCATCAAAAGCATTATTTTTTACATTTATAAGGAAACTGCTCCGATAGATTCATTCAACATACCTGCACATTGGCGATATCTGCCTTAAAAATTGTGCGACTAGTATCAATTATCAATCAAAGTATTACATTTACCTGCACTGGCCCTACAATTACCTAATTGTACAACCTTTTATTTATTTTGCTCATCTCGCAGAACAACGAAAATGGCTATCAATTTATGGAAGTTATATAGATAATTAGATAACATTCGGTAAAAATTTCGCTTGCAGTAATTTCTACATGGTAAGTGCTCCGCCAATATTTGGTTTTATAGGGATTCGGATACCTTCCTCATTGAAGTAGTAAAGAAAATTCTCTTAAGTGCCTTTTTCGGTTACGTGCAGCTAAGCAAAATATACTGTATATCATCGGTAACAAAAACCGCGAAGTCTGTTCTGCCTTTTCCATGTTGGATAGGGAAGCAAAGCGCATGGGTCTGGTGGTAAACGAGGACAAGACGAAGTATCTCCTGTCATCAAACAAACAGTCAGCACATTCGCGCCTTGGCACCCACGTCACTGTTGACAGTTATAATTTCGAGAAATGAGAGAATTTCGTTTACTTGGGAACCAGCATTAAAACCGATAATCAGCATGGAAATCCAACGCAGAATCACTCTTGCCAACAAGTGCTACTTTGGCCTGAGACCGCAATTCAGAAGTAAAGTCCTCTCTCGACGCACGAAAACCACACTCTATAAGTCACTCATCATGTCCGTGCTGGTATATGGCGCAGAAGCATGGGCAATGGCAACATCCGATGAGGCGGCTCTTCGAGTATTCGAAAGAAAATGTGCATTCCAAAACGTCGAAATACAAAGCAGCAGTCCCTTTTATTTCTAAACCTTAGCAGATTGTAATGCCAAATGCACGCAACCACGGTTAGACACTCGTTTTCCCCTAGGCTGCGCAAGTCAGACCTTTTTTTCTAGTACCGTTTAGAAGTAAAAGAGACTGATGCTTTGTCTTTTCAACGTTTTGGAATGCACCCAATGATTTTGCGGAAGATTTACGGGCCTTAACGCGTTGGCGACGGCAAGTACCGCAGACGATGGAACGATGACCTGAATGAGCTTTACAACGACGTGGACATAGTCCTGCGAATTAAAATACCGCGGCTCCACTGGCTTGGTTGGAAAGTATTCAACTCGGAACACGCTGGTGGTAGCAGAGGAAGAGGGAGGCCTCCACTGCGATGGAAAGACCAGGTGGAGAAGGACTTGGCTTCACTTGGCATTTCGAATTGGCGTCCATTGGCACAGAAAGGAAACGACTGACGTGCTTTGCTGAGTGGTTACTGCGCCAAATAAGAAGAAGATTATGTATGTATGCAACTATTATCATGTTTTTGTTAATCATGGTTTTCGTTCTTCATATTTATTGTTTATCGTTTAAATAAAACAGATGCCACGAGATTCGAAACGCGAACATTTCGCCTTTTTACCCCATCGGCCGAAGCATCCCCACCGAGCAAACAAAATTCATAGGAATTTGGCGCATACAAAATTTAATAAAACATTTTATTTTTAATATTTTTATTGAACTTTGTACCACGATTGTTTATTAGGAAAAATTGAAAAAGCAACAAAGTCTAAGCGGTAGAAGTTTTAGCACTATTTCGGAGATCACCACATCTCCTCGTCAGACTTATTTTTTCTAAACTTCAGCAGGGAACCTAATAAAACATTTTAATTTGTTTTTGGTATATGATCTGTATTGATTTATTGGTTAATAAACTCATAAAATTGAAATAACTATACTGTATCTAAATCAAATATTTACTGCAATCATTCCATTTTAGAAACACAATTTACACAACAAAGTCTAAGCGGTAGAAGTTATAGCACTATTTCGGAGATCACCATATCTCCTCATCAGACTTCTTTTTTCTAAACTTCAGCAGGGAACCTAATAAAACATTTTAATTTGTTTTTGGTATATGAACTGCATTGATTTATTGGTTAATAAACTGTCATAAAAATGAAATAACTATACTGTATCTAAATCAAATACTTACTGCAATCATTCCATTTTAGAAACACAATTTATTTTTGCTTTTCGAAAACTTAAGTTTCTTAGTTTATCCTTCTGATTCTATTGAAACAGACACAGATAAATGCAATTATTATAATTTTAGTACATAAAACAATAATACAGCAAACAGCTAAAAATGCGTGGACACCAGCACCCGGATTCCAACTTTTGTTATCGCTAAAATGCTAAAATCTGCTAAAACGCTTAAGATAAAATTTTATCCTAATTTTTGGCGAACTCCAAAGATCGCGATTCTGTCCACCCTGTCGCTAAAATTTGCTTAGCCTAAATTTTAGTACTTTATTCGGCCGCCAGGAGCGCTGTGCAGCAACGGCAGCTGTCAAATTTTGTTTTGATTTTAAGGTACGACCGCACTGGGCGACGCGACACTGCAGCGGCACTACGCGACACGGCGCGACACTTTTTGGTATACCGCACTGAAACTGCAGCGGCGCGACACTTCGCTGCATTTTTTTTTTATTTATTTGCGTCAAAACATTCAAACAAGATGGATGCCAGTGACGCTGATGTAATGTTAATGCCTTTTATTTTTATTTTCCTTGGCGAATTCTCCTCAAATGTTATGTTTCTTTACATAAAATTTTCTTCTTGAATGAAATGCATCTGAATATTCACTTACAATTCGAAATCAATTTCAAGTTAAAAATATAGTACGAAATGTTATGTCGCTCCGCTGGGTATACCACACTATGCGGCACCGGAACTGCGCGACACCACGCGACGCGACATTTTTGCCTAGTTGGTCAACTTTGCCGCGCAGCGTCGCGTCGCGTAGCTCCGCTGCAGCGTAGTGCGGTATGCTCCATATGAATCCATGCAGAGAATATTTTCCGCGCTGTGTAGTGTCGTGTCGCGTCGCCCAGTGCGGTCGTACCTTTAATAGTGAAAATAAGAGTAAGTAGAACTTTTCAATAATTTTGACCGATTTATTATAAATTCATATAACTTATTAATAAAACTAATAAAGTACAATCAAAGAGTTTGGGATTGCAAATTAAATAAAGTGTTTGTAAAGTGATAACAAGTCGGTTAATTAAGCATTTTGTTGCAACCATAAATACAAAAAACTGCTGTAATACTATTCATGAAAACCAGCAATAAATATAAAACTTAATTCACTATGCAAGCCGCTTCTTAAGTTGCTAGCCATTATTTACTAAACCACACACCCAATCGTTTCTTGGAAGGACTATGGTCATATTTTATGAACAATGGTGTGGTTACTGCAAAATGGTTACGGCCAATTTCCCGGCAAGTTATTCTGGAACTACATTGCCTGAAAATACGAGCACGAAAACTTCTTTGTACACGATTTTCGAATTTACCGCGTGAAATTAAAATTCGTTCCTATCCAACTTTTTTCTGTTTCCATCCTTCACCGTCTTCAATGGCTCCTCCACACGCGTTTAGTTTCTAAGCAAGATGGTTCCACTGCTCCAGCAAATGCCTGCACCCGGTGTCATTCACGAATTTAAAAAAAAAGAACCTTAACGATTTCAGTTACGAGAAAATCTTTTCCATAACTGTCATGAGAGAATTCCCTGTATTTTTCCAAATATTGAACAAGCTCATTTGTCACCCTTCTGCTGCTGCAGTTTTCGATTTTTAATATGAATTACAACAATTTTTATTTAATCGAGTATTTTGTTGATTTATTTTTTAGCACCGAATATTTGTCGTCGTCAAATTTGCAGGCTTTTAAGCGAAAAAGAAGTATTTTTAGCGATGGAAAAAACGCTGGAATCGCCATTTTAGCTGTTTGAGCTGTCAAAAACAGTTCACTCGCTTTATCCGGATTCATTTTGTTCATCGCTAAAATTTGTCAAAAAATGTGCCAAAAATGGCGATTTTTAGAGTTGCATTTTCATGATAGAATCCCGAAAATCGCTGAAAATTGCTAAAATTAATTTAGCACTTTTTGGCGTTGGAGTTTTAGCGATAGCGAATGTTGGAATCCGGGTGCAGTTAAATATTTTCTTTAGCTTATATTTAAAATACGTATAGAAATGCAGTAATTGAAATGTTTTCGTTTATGTATGTTTGTATATACATACAAGCAATTAATAAAATATGAGAAATCTTCTGACACTACGACATCATGGCGTATGTATATATTTATAAATATTTAAAAGAATTCATATGTTGCACATACTACTTTGTATTGTATATAAATTTTGTATAAAGTTCCGAAAAATAGTTTTAATTTAAGGATTTCTCTAGTTCCAATGTATACCGTAGCTTCTTAAAAGATAATAAATACGTACATATGGATATGTGTATGTGTTTGTGTATTTACGAGTAGTAAAAAAATACTTAAAAGGCACTTTTTTAAAGCGTGGTTATGGTTGAAATATTGGTTTTCATTTATTGCTTCAGATGTCGAATGTGTGATGTCATCCACAGTTTCGTTGGAAATATTCCTGCTTCCTGTGCATTTGCCGAATCCTATGTATTGACGAATACAATTGTTCTGTATTTAACATGACTAACTTCAGTGAGCAGTGGCTGTATTAATGTTTTTGAAGTCTTGCGTTTGAGTGGTACTTCGTAGTACCTCAATCCATCTGTGCATAAAACAAAGATGTTTTATTGAAGAGAGGATATATAAGGGACTACTTACCGATTATAAGTGTGCACACTTTCAGCACGGAAGAAGTAAACATGATTCTTAAATGATAATTTGAAAACAAATTCCTTTTGAACCGCGTCTTGGTGACCTGGCGGGCCAACAGAGTATCCCAATAACGGTAAACTAGCCAGCGCAAATTCGTCCTGATAGCTTTTGTAGAAGTACAAGCAGAACGAAGTAAAGACGACCCATAATTTTTGCCAACCGGAACTATTTTTGAATTTACGCAGCAAATATCCGGACAGTTGGTTTTCGGCGGATATTAGATGATCGCCCAAACCGACGGTTGCGCCACGATGCCAACAAACGTGTAGAGCAGTGTTGCTGCGCGAGGGTGGCGTTTTGTGTTGTAAATTTTGTTGCTGTTGATGCAGTTGTTGCGCGGTCAAGCCGTTCGTCAAACCGCAGAGATCGAGACCCTCTTCCGATGAGCCTGCCGAAGTTAACAAAAAAATAAAAAGTCATAAACAAAACTCTTTCAAATACCATAGACGAACATTGGATTAGGTTTTTTGACCGTTCCTACTAAGGCGTATATCACTATCATACACCTCGCGTAGGAATTATTCTTATTCGTCAGAAAAAAAAAAATCACATTGAAGGTACTCATCTTCAAAGTTAAATATCTCTGCCGTTAGTTAAGCTATTTAGGTTAAACTAAAAATATCTAGAACACCAATACTTTTGCCTTATGCCACCAATAAAAATGTATATCAAATAACTACCCTGCAAAAAATTTTTTCAGAGTATTCTGAATCGTAAAGAAATTTTAACGAATTCGGAGAGATCCCATCCGATTTTTTTCCGAATTTTCTAAAATGAAATAAATTACGCACACTTCCATTCTTTTACGAAATTTCGGAAGAAAATCGGTGAAGAAATGAAAAAATGCTGCTATGTGAAGAATTTCTTGCAGACTTTTTTCGGAATTTTCTTTATTTTTCGTACAGAAATTTCTTTACGAGTTCGTGTCAACCACTTCATATAATTTTCTTTGAAGATTCGGAAAAAAATCGTTACAGAAATCAGATACTCCTAAAGATTTCGTTAAGATTTCGGGAACTTTGGTTTGCAGGGAAAATTCTGAAAAAAGTCTGCAAGAAATTCTTCACATAGCAGCATTATTTTCATTTCTTCACCGATTTTCTTCCGAAATTTCGTAAAAGAATGGAAGTGTGCGTAATTTATTTCATTTTAGAAAATTCGGAAAAAAATCGGATGGGATCTTTCCGAATTCGTTAAAATTTCTTTACGATTCAGAATACTCTGAAAAAATGGTTTGCAGGGTTGTTGCTCTGAAACTCAAACAATGTAAAGAAACTAAATTTTTCGAAATCAAATAAAAAACTTGTACACTAAATTCAAAATAATTAACTGGTTAAAAAGTTAATCATTTAATGCGGCAACCTTCTAATCCTATTCATAGAATGAACTATGTTCCACACAAAGCGGAGGGACCTACAGTTTTACACCGAATCCGAACGGCGATTGTATTTTTATGAGAAGCCGTTTTTCATGGCTGAAATACACTCGGAGGTTTGCCATTGCCTGCCGAGGGACGACCTCTTCTTCTTCTTCTTTTTTGGCGCTGTAACCGCCTAAGCGATTTTGGCCGAGTTCAGCAAAGCACGCCAGTCGTTTCTGCTCTGTGCCAACTGACGCCAATTGGAAACGCCAAGTGAAGCCAAGTCCTTCTCCCCCTGATCTTTCCATCGCAGTGGGGGCCTCCCTCTGTATTTTAATTCGCTGCACTATGTCCATATCGTTGTAAAGCTCATACAGCTCATCGTTCCATCGTCTGCGGTACTCGCCGTCGCCAACGCGTATAGGACCGTAAATCTTCCGCAAAATCTTTCTCTCAAACACTCCAAGAGCCGCCTCATCGGATGTTGTCATTGTTCATGCTTCTGCGCCATATACCAGCACGGGCATGATGAGTGACTTATAGAGCGCGGTTTTCGTACGTCGAGAGAGGACTTTACTCCTGAAATGCCTACTCAGTCCAAAGTAGCACTTGTTGGCAAGAGTGATTCTACGTTGGATTTCAATGCTGACATTATTATCGGTGTTAATGCTGGTTCCCAAGTAAACGAAATTCTCTACTTTCTCGAAATTGTAACTGTCAACAGTGACGTGGGTTCCAAGGCGCGAATGTGCTGACTGTTTGTTTGATGACAGGAGATACTTCGTCTTGTCCTCGTTTACCACCAGACCCATTCGCTTTGCTTCCCTATCCAACTTGGAAAAGGCAGAACAGACTTCGCGGTTTCTGTTAGCGATGATGTCGATGTCATCGGCATAAGCCAGCCATTGCACGCTCTTATAGTAAATTGTTCCTGAGCGGTTCAGTTCTGCAGCTCTTATTATCTTCTCCAACATCAGATTAAAGAAGTCACATGAAAGGGAGTCGCCCTGTCTGAAACCCCGTTTTGTGGCGAACGGCTCGGAGAGGTCTTTTCCAATTTTGACGGAGCTGGTGGTATTGCTCAACGTCATTTTACACAGCCGTATGAGTTTTGAGGGGATGCCAAATTCAGACATAGCGGCGTATAGGCAACTCCTTTTAGTGCTGTCAAAAGCGGCTTTAAAGTCGACAAATAGGTGGTGAGTGTCGATCCTTTTCTCGCGGGTCTTTTCCAAGATTTGGCGTATTGTGAATACCTGGTCTATGGTGGATTTGCCAGGTCTAAAGCCACACTGATAAGGCCCAATCAGTTCATTGACGGTGGGCTTCAGTCCTTCACACAATACGCTCGATAAGACCTTGTAACCTATGCTTAGAAGGCTGATCCCGCGGTAGTTGGCGCGAATGGCGGGATCACCTTTCTTGTGGATTGGGCAGAGCACACTTAAATTCCAGTCGTC